GTTCAATACTTTCCCCCTGTGCCATTCTACATTAGTACAAATAACTTCATTTCTGGACATTTCTGGTTTGATTTCTTTGTATGTATGGATCACTTGGGTTGTTACCGACATCTGGTGAAAATTTCATGTCATTAGCACCTCTAGTAATATATTTACTGAGAAAAATGTTGACGTGTTCAATACTTATTTTACCCGCTGTAAATAACTTGTATAACACATTTAAAGAAACTGGTCATTTTGGATGTGCTGTTGTGTCAAATAGTTATGAATGAAATCTTGTTAGTGGTCGTGTTCAGAAAGGCAAAAGTCTACATTCAGGCTAGGCTAATAGCTAGCCCATCAAGTGCCAACATTTAGACATTTTTTTAGGTTTATAAAGGTTTTTATGGCATTTGAAAAAGTGCAACGTTTCAATGTAATACATTATTTTTAATACACTGGTTTGGCATTTTTGAGAGTGTTATTTTATATGATTAAAAACAAAGAAATCTCATGCTTATTTGGCTAGCCCAAGGGTTTGCAATCTTTACAACCAAGAGTAGCATTTGAAACATTTCAAGAATGGTGTGAGCAAAGCTGCAGCTTCATAAATACTATCCTTTCTGAAAGCGATAAACAAAAATAAGTTTTAAATTAATTTAATTTAGGTTTCTTCAGCAACTACACAATAAAACACGGAACATAACACTGTCGTGTTTCAATGTCATCTTATTCAGATGAAACTATGTTCGCAAAGAAACTAKAAGAYGAGTGAAAGGTGGAAYAATARTTTAACAGGAGTTTTTGAAAATTTACTTCAAATTCACTGACAGCGCCTACATGTGGACACAGAAAAATGTTCAAAAACAGCAGACGGAATGCAAAAATGTGCATCATTCAGAGCATTTAATAAACTCATTCTGTTGTAACATAAATTGATAGAGATGCAGTTTTTACATGCAAATGACAAAGTTTCAAAACATTATACATAGACACACAAAAAATCACTATAAAGAAAAGTTATCTGGGAACAAGATGTCCAATGATTTTGAAATGTTACAAATTTATACTCAGATTTCTGAAGTACAGTATACAGATAAAAAGATGTGTATGAGTAGCTTATGGCTTCTTTATAATTAATTAGAATCAGAATCAGTTTTATTGGCCAAGTATGTTCACACACACACACATGGAATTTGCAGTTTAGAACACCCGTCCGGAGAAACACACACACGTGACAAACATGGGGGTAAGAACGTCCGGGGTCCTTCGCAACAAAGTGTGCTACCTTTGCAGTTTAGAATACACACACACATAGGGAGGATGAGTTAAAAAAGAGCTTTGATCTTGTGTTTTATACAGAAAAACACACGAGCATGCGCACAAAAAACCACTCTGCGAAAGGAGCAGCTAAGGAGGGACGGAAGGGGGCTGGGGGAACAAAACATATGGAAGGGGGGAAGGGGAGCAGAAGAGCCAGTGACATACTGCCGGAACCAAATCAAGAGACCTTCAGAGTCCAACCAGCTGTTATCACTCAAGCAATTGATCTGATATAGTTAAATTGTTAATAAATGTCGTAAAAAAAAACAATCGCCTAGATGGAATTACATATATAATGTCATTTGAGGAAGATGGAGCAGTGAATTTGGAGTGAGAACATAGTGAGTGGGTTTGGAGGTGAAATAATCAATGCAACAGAGAACCGGAACAAAAGTAATGACTCTGCTGAAAGAAAATAAAATCAAGAAAAGATTAAAAAAAATTGTTTCCATAACTAGATTCTGGCTGAAGCATAATACACACTAAGCAAGTATTAGAGCTGATAGAGCTTTATCACATTCTTTTACTTCCTCTGTTTGATGTAGCAAGCCACTCCGCTCTTTGGTCTCAGTGTACCAGTGTCCTCGATGTCATAAGTCTGTCCTGGAACGAGGGTGAAATCGAACCTCTGAAGCAGCTTCGCCATCACCACTTTAGCCTCCATCTGAAAATATACAATCATTCAGCTGTGTTAAGGTTTGTACAAATACAATGAATGTATTGTGTAAAGTAATCTTTGGCCCACCCACCTGAGCAAAGTTCTGTCCCAGGCATGAGCGTGGACCGAGGGCAAACGGGTAGTAACAGTAATATGGTCTGATAAAATATATAAAGAGTTTATTTCATTTTATCTGCCACAGAGACGGTTTCTAAAGTACCACAGGAAGTAAAACATGACATTATGAGAACATTTTGTTCTACTTACTTGGGAGCGTCTGGGTGAAATCTGTCTGGATCAAATTTCAGTGGGTCCTTGAAGAATCTTTCCATTCTTCCAGTGGCATAGGAGTCAAACTGAACATCAGAACCATGTTAATTGTTGGTAATGTTGTAAGTGGCCAAGAAACTAGTATTGTTCTGTTCAATACATAATGGCTATTTRTTATTATTTATCAGACAAACACTTCCTGCTTTAGAGCTACAAGTATGTTTGTTAGACTCACCATACAGCTGACTCCTCCAGGGATGTGGACACCATCGATCACCATGTCTTCATCAATCTGACGGGATGTTCCTGGAGCAGTTGGGTACATCCTCAGAGTCTCCTTTAGCACCTGTAATGTGATGCCTATTTTAGTATTTACATATTGTTGGAAAAATTAATTATCACACTTGACACAAGGAATGACAAACAAGCAGCAGATCTGGTTACTGAGCTCTATGTGCTCAKTAACAAGTGCAGGAAKGAGTCCATATAYAGACAAGGTACTTYCATATAATTGTCAGCACTGTCGAGCTTTTAAAGGGTCTTCTGCAAAAGAACCAATTGTGACCTTTCGTATGGCCACGTGCAACCTCCTGTTCTCTAGCTAGGCGGTACTTCCAGTTCCTCTATCTAGTCCCATCTGTCCAGTAGCGGTCAAAAATGTAGCTCAACTCTACGTCTTAGGAAGCTAAATGTTTATAGCTGTCTTCATTCTTCCAACATTCCTGAGAACAAGCATTTACAAGCCATGCAAAAGTCTAAGTTTATAAACAAACACAGAACAGCAGCAGTATATCACTTGTAACTGAATGCACCATTATGTTTTAGATCACGATTTCACCAACACATACACAACAACAAACTATGAACTCTGAATTAGAAGGCCTGATTGAATTTCACACTAACTGTAACAATGAATTTGAAGGTAAATATCAGTGAGGACACTACAAATATGTTGTAGATTCATCDTCTGTACCTGTGAGAGGTAGATCAGTTTCCCAAGGTCATCATAGCTGATGTCTTGTTTCATCCCAATGACATCGTCCACTTCTTTCCTCACTCTGAAAAGTCAACACTCTGCTTCAGAAACCTTTCTTCTCTTACTGTATAACAAGCTAATAAGAACTCTATATATCTTACTTCTCCAGAATTTCAGGATGTCGTCCAAGTTCCATGATGCAGAACCCCAGCTTATTAGCTGTTGTTTCTTGACCTAGTACGCAGAAATTTTGATAAAGGTGAAAAGGGACATCACTTTATAACCTTAAGGTAGCTTGGACTATGATACCATGTCATTCAAAATGAGCTTTCTTCCCACTTCACCCCAGCAAGATGGTTTGGCGAGAAATTAAACTCAGGCTACACTAAGATCTGGGGTTGAGTAACCTTAAAGCATTTGTTTCCATTTCAACCTTATACAGAACAGTGGGTAAAGACGACTAATGGAAAGATAGATGAATGAACACCTCTTGATTAAACATGACTTTGAACAAAAAGAGCACAGTTTCAAACTCAGTTTGGAGTCCATTACATCTCAACAAGAAAAGACTCACCAGCAATGAAGAATGTCACAAAGTTGTCCAACATGAACTCCTCATCTTCCTCTGTCATGTTTTCTATTGTTACAACACAAGAACGAACAAGGCAATGATTTAATGATGTTCACTGAAATCATCCTGGGACAACTTTTCACAGATTTTCAACTTTTTATTACAACCTGTGGCAGCAGTTTTGATGATCTGTGTCAGGATGTCTTTTGGAACGTCTTCACCGTTCTGCATGGCAGTCTTCCTCTTCTGGATCACCTGAGCTCCAGTTTTTCGCAGCAGGCGACTCGCCTCTCTCACTTCCTTAACGAATCGTCTGTTCTTTGGATTGTACTGGAATGAGCAGAGTCGAAATATCAAACAGGTGCTCATGAGGCTGCTGTGGGTATTTCTAATAAAATTAATTGAAGTATTACCTCAAACATGAGATCTCTGACGTAGTACACCATCCCTTTTAGACAAATCTCGATGGCTTTAGGGAAAGGTGAACTATTTTCCAGGAGGTTCAAATTC